AAGATGCTGCCAAGGAGCATGTTCAAGCTCTGGTAATCTCTCGCATGGATTACTGTAATTCTCTCCTAATTGGTCTCCCCAGGAGCCGTACTGCCCCGCTACTAATGGCAATGAATGCTCCTACTAGTCTAAATTCTCCCTCCTGTTGCTCCTCTCGCCCCTCTGTCGATCTCTAAATAGACTTCCTGTATCCTATAGATGTCAATTCAAAATACTAACTCTTACCTATAAAGCTCTAAACAACTCTAGCACCTGTTCATTTCTTCACTGATTTGTAGATATGCCCCTTCTCGGTCTCTCCGCTCTGACGATGACATTCTGCTGTCTGCTGCTCGCACCCTTACTGCTAACTCACGCTTGCAGGACTTCTCACAGACGGCTCCTTTGGAATAGACTGCCAACCCCCATCAGACTCTCCCATAGTCATCAGTCCTTCAAAGCCCATATTTTCAGAAATGCCTATAGCCGCCCAGAGTAACGTCTACTTTACGAACATGTCTCTTGCTCTCTCCGAAAGAGCCACTCTCCACTCTCTCCTCCATTCCCACTATTCCCCACGCTGCCATTCCTATTGTATTTTTCTATCCCACGTCTCTGGACTGTAAGCTTGTTTGAGCAGATTCCTCATCTAGCTATAGTTCCAGTAACATTATGTAATTGTCTCATTTATTGTTAAATGTCCCCCTTTTATAATATTGTAAAGCGCTGTGGAATAAGTTGGTGCCATATAAACACAAATGATACCAATAATAGTGAATAACCCTTGGGATAATCCCTCCTGGTATATCATTATTCTGAATTGACTATATTGGAGTGTTTGTGTGCACATTACTTTCTTAGCTATGCAATCCTGCTGAAGGACAGTGTTGTTAACAAATTTCATGTAAACGGTGCCTTGCATTTGTATCTGCCCAAAATGGTGGAATAGGACTTAGTTACTAAAGTGATAATTTTCAGGAATTCAAAGTGAATATCCAATATAAGGCCAGAGTAGCCGAACTGGAAGAGAAGCTAACTTGGAGAATGTTTCCAGTTCGTCTATTTTTCCTTAAATTTAAACTTTGAATTGCTGGCAATTCTAACTTTAGGAAAAAAAACCCTGCCAGTGGCTCTATTATTTAATTATAGTCATAAAATGTGACTAAATCCCCCCTTTATCTGAGATACAGGTCTTTACAATGTGTGTTAAAGGGACACTACAGGTACCCAGACAACTTCATCTCATTAAATTGCCACTGTAAAGTTCCTTTAAAGATTTCTTCTTTATTATGGTTAATTGTTTATTTCACTTTGATGTCTCTACTCCTCCCCCCCTCTTGATCTGTCTCTTTTTACCCATCTGTGTCTCTTCCAAACGATTGACTCACGTGAAGATCTTTCAGGTAAGGCTGTTAAAATCTACAGTATCTGTTTGGTTCTGTAGGTTAGAATAAAGGGTCTAATAGTTTCTAAACAGTAAATTGTTACAATTGAAGTCTAACTGCAATATTACAGCTTCCTATCTTCTCTTTGCACTTCTAGGGGTTAGGCCCCATTGTATCTCTCAACCATCACAACCTGGCGGATGGACTTGTTCCATTCCTAACCAGTGCTGTGTTTCTTTCTATGATAAGATAATGAGCTTTGGACTTTCTACCCTTTACCCTAAAGTGGATTCAGAGCTTCAGAGTTTATCCCAGCATCTCAGTAACTACTAGAGCATATCCCAGGGTCTCAGTCACTACTAGAGCATATCTTGGGGTCTCAGTCTCTACCAGAGCATATCTTGGGGTCTCAGTCTCTACCAGAGCATATCTCGGGGTCTCAGTCTCTACTAGAGCCTATCCCAGGGTCTCAGTCCCTAGTAGAGCATATCCCAGGGTCTCAGTCCCTACTAGAGCATATCCCGGGGTCTCAATCCCTACTAGAGCGTATCCCGGGGTCTCAGTCACTACTAGAGCGTGTTCAAGGGTCTAAGTCACTACTAGAGCATATCCCGGGGTCTCAGTCACTACTAGAGCATATCCCGGGGTCTAGTTACTACTAGGGCATATCCCGAGGTCTCAGTCACTACTAGGGCATATCCCGAGGTCTCAATCATTACTAAAGCATATCCCGGGTTCACAGTCACTACTAGAGCATATCCCAGCATCTCAGTAACTACTAGAGCGTATCCCGGGGTTTTTTAAAATTTAATATTAGATCTTTTTCAAGGGTCTCTACCAACTTTTTTATTTCTTGCAACTCAGTACCATTTGTGATTACTTGTGTTTCCTCTTCTCACCGGCTTGCTGAAGTCTGGCTATTTGTTGTCTCTTGGAGGTGGCCATTTTGATTGTGATAATCAACTAAGTTTCCCATGAACTGCTGTAAAAAGGTGTGTAATTGCATTAGGATTAGCCCAACATAACTGACCATTACAGATGTAACACGCTAGTAGCTAATTAGCAAATTTCCTGCATGTTTAAAAAAAAAGAAAAAAGAAAAAAAAAAGTTCAAGAATAATGATTGGCTATGTAGAAAACCCGCTGGATCAGTGAGGGGTGTGACATAAACCAGTATTGAGTAAGTGACATCTGGTACCGCCTGGGGCAAATCATATAATTATTAATCTTCTGAAAATCCAATATTTCATTAAGTGTCGTCAGGATTGACAGGTTGTTAACGTATATTTGCTGGGTTACAATGTAAGCAGCATTGTCCATTACTGATTCATTGTATTAGATAATATCATGCGTCACACTGATTGGAAACACCTGATTCGAGGACTTCGTGTGCTGGGTTTATTTATGAGAACTTTGTTCTTCCTATCTATTATTCAATTTAACGTTCCTCTCCAAATCTGCTCAAATCCAGCTGGGGCATAAATTCCATTGTCATTAAAATGTGATTCCATTCATCAGAGCCATCACTTTAATCACACCGGGGGAACATATAGCTAGGGGTACCCCTTAATTACAATATCCACATCTAGAGCTAAGGGTACCCTTAATTACAATATCCCCATCTAGAGCTAAGGGTACCCCTTAATTACAATATCCGCATCTAGAGCTAGGGGTACCCCTTAATTACAATATCCGCATCTAAAGCTAGGGGTACCCCTTAATTACAATATCCGCATCTAGAGCTAGGGGTACCCTTTAATTACAATATCCACATCTTGTGAAGGTTCACTTCCTTTTAAGGAGTACATACATAGGTTTAGGATACTTACCTAGAGTCCGGTGTCCATGTTAGAAGCCGTTTTACTTTATTTAAAGGTACACCTGTACTCAGGATCCAATGGACTATAACTCCCAGCTGTCTGTCAAACAAAACCTGGCTAGGAGTAATGAGGTACAGTGTTCTGAAAGGGAATGGTGGGATCACACTGTGGGCTACATTATAATATAATTATAATATTATTAATTGTTATACTTTTATTTATAAAGTTCTATCACATTCTTCTGCGCTGTCGATTGGTACAAATAAAAACCACCCTGACCCAGTACAATATAATAAAGAGACAGACATTTACAATGTAGATGGTTTCAATTCACCAATGTTACTATTAGACTATAGCATCACTTATTACACATTGCAACACCTGGTCCTATTTATTTATTTATTTAAGGGGCAGGTGCATCTCTCCCCGAATCTGAAAAAAAAAAATCATGACATTGAAAATGTAGGACTTCCAGAGTGTGTAGACAACTGCACTCACTCCCATCAGTCTGAGCCAGGGTGCTTAGCTCTATCAGAACCAAACACCAGATTCCATAAAAGTAGTAGAATAAAGGAAAAAGACCAAGATGGTCGAAACGTTGCTGTGGTTCTAATAAAGTGCCTACGGTGAACCTAGGAGTGCCTGGACCTCGTTCCTTTATTCTATTGAAAATGTAGGAAACATCTCTTGAGAAACATACCAATTGTGTGATATGTTCTCCTAAGATATAAATTACTGAGATGATGAACGCTTTCTGCAGAGACCGGTTATTTATTGGTAATTATTACCTACTTCTCTGACAACAGGTATAAGAACTCTGATTTACAATGACCAACTGATAATGTGTCAAACTGGACAGTTCTAGTTCTATTCTGCTGAATGAAGGTATAATGCAGTACGGGCTAGTAGCAAAGGAAATTCAACAAATTTTCCCAAATCTGGAAATTCTATATGAGGAATTTCCCCTCCCCCTCATAATTCTTAGAGGGAAACTATTACGCGCCAAAAACACTTTAACTTATTGAAGTGGTTATGATATCAGGACCCTGTCTTTGCAGCCTTTCATTTGGCAAACTTGTCAGACTGACAAAATGGGGCTTCACAGCGCAGCTTGGCTACATATAGACGAATTGGAGAAAATTATAAATCTGTTATTTAAGCTTTATTTATATCACAGTACTATATGTAAAAACTAAGAACAGCTTTCCCTCCCCGCACCTTAATTCCGCTCCTGAAACTGTCATCAAAACAAAACACTAAGCCCTCAATGAACACTATCCTAGCAACCTACTTTCCTACCCTACCTTTACCTTTTATATCACTATACCCCACTCCCTCTAACATGTAAACTCACTGAGCAGGGCCCTCAATCCCTCTGTTACTGTGTCACTATACCCCACTCCCTCTAACATGTAAACTCACTGAGCAGGGCCTCAATCCCTCTGTTACTGTCACTATACCACACTCCCTCTAGCATGTAAACTCACTGAGCAGGGCCCTCAATCTCTCTGTTACTGTGTCACTATACCCCACTCCCTCTAACATGTAAACTCACTGAGCAGGGCCCTCAATCCCTCTGTTACTGTGTCACTATACCCCACTCCCTCTAACATGTAAACTCACTGAGCAGGGCCCCCAATCCCTCTGTTACTGGGTCACTATACCCCACTCCCTCTAACATGTAAACTCACTGAGCAGGCCCTCAATCCCTCTGTTACTGTGTCACTATACCCCACTCCCTCTAACATGTAAACTCACTGAGCAGCTGTTAGTCACTATACCCCACTCCCTCTAACATGTAAACTCACTGAGCGATCCCTCTGTTACTGTCACTATACCCCACTCCCTCTAACATGTAAACTCACTGAGCAGGCCCTCAATCCCTCTGTTACTGTGTCACTATACCCCACTCCCTCTAACATGTAAGCTCACTGAGCAGGGCCCTCAATCCCTCTGTTACTGTCACTATACCCCACTCCCTCTAACATGTAAACTCACTGAGCAGGCCCTCAATCCCTCTGTTACTGTGTCACTATACCCTACTCCCTCTAGCATGTAAACTCACTGAGCAGGGCCCTCAATCCCTCTGCTCACTGAGCAGGACCTCAATCCCTCTGTTACTGTGTCACTATACCCCACTCCCTCTAACATGTAAACTCACTGAGCAGGACCCTCAATCCCTCTGTTACTGTGTGTCACTATACCCCACTCCCTCTAACATGTAAACTCACTGAGCAGGGCCCTCAATCCCTCTGTTACTGTGTCACTATACCCCACTCCCTCTAACATGTAAACTCACTGAGAGGCCCTCAATCCCTCTGTTACTGTGTCACTATACCCCACTCCCTCTCAATCCCTCTGTTACTGTGTCACTAAGCTCACTGAGCAGGGCCCTCAATCCCTCTGTTACTGTGTCACTATACCCCACTCCCTCTAACATGTAAACTCACTGAGCAGGGCCTCAATCCCTCTGTTACTGTGTCATTATACCCCACTCCCTCTAACATGTAAACTCACTGAGCAGGCCCTCAATCCCTCTGTTACTGTCACTATACCCCACTCCCTCTAACATGTAAACTCACTGAGTAGGCCCTCAATCCCTCTGTTACTGTGTCACTATACCCCACTCCCTCTAACATGTAAACTCACTGAGCAGGCCCTCAAACCCTCTGTAAACTCACTGAGCAGGCCCTGTGTCACTATGCCCCCTCCCTCTAACATGTAAACCACTGAGCTGGGCCCTCAATCCCTCTGTTACTGTGTCACTGCCCCCCACTCCCTCTAACATGTAAACTCACTGAGCAGGCCCTCAATCCCTCTGTTACTGTGTCACTATACCCCACTCCCTCTAACATGTAAACTCACTGAGCAGGCCCTCAATCCCTCTGTTACTGTGTCACTATACCCCACTCCCTCTAACATGTAAACTCACTGAGCAGGGCCCTCAATCCCTCTGTTACTGTCACTATACCCCACTCCCTCTAACATGTAAACTCACTGAGCGGGCCCTCAATCCCTCTGTTACTGTGTCACTATACCCCACTCCCTCTAACATGTAAACTCACTGGGTGGGGCTCAATCCCTCTGTTTTGTGTACTACACCCCTCCCTCCTAACATGTAAACTCACTGGGCAGGGCCCTCAAACATGTAAGCTCACTGAGCAGAGCCCTCAATCCCTCTGTTACTGTCACTATATCCACTCCCTCTAACATGTAAGCTTACTGAGAAGGACCCTCAATCCCTATGTTACTGTGTCATTATACCCCACTCCCTCTAACATGTAAACTCACTGAGCAGGGCTCTCAATCCCTCTGTTACTGTGTCACTATACCCCACTCCCTCTAACATGTAAACTCACTGAGCAGGGCCCTCAATCCCTCTGTTACTGTGTCACTATACCCCACTCCCTCTAACATGTAAACTCGCTGAGCAGGCCCTCAATCCCTCTGTTACTGTGTCACTATACCCCACTCCCTCTAACATGTAAACTCAATGAGCAGGGCCTCAATCCCTCTGTTACTGTGTCACTATACCCCACTCCCTCTAACATGTAAACTCACTGAGCAGGGCCTCAATCCCTCTGTTACTGTCACTATACCCCACTCCCTCTAGCATCTAAACTCGCTGAGCAGGGCCCTCAATACCTCTGTTAATGTGTCACTAAACCCCACTCCCTCTAGCATGTAAACTCATTGAGCAGGCCCTCAATCCCTCTGTTACTGTGTCACTACACCCCACTCCCTCTAACATGTAAACTCGCTGAGCAGGCCCTCAATCCCTCTGTTACTTTGTCACTATACCCCACTCCCTCTAGCATCTAAACTCGCTGAGCAGGCCCTCAATCCCTCTGTTACTGTGTCACTATACCCCACTCCCTCTAACATGTAAACTCACTGAGCAGGGCCCCCAATCCCTCTGTTACTGTGTCACTATACCCCACTCCCTCTACCATGTAAACTCACTGAGCAGGGCCCCCAATCCCTCTGTTACTGTCACTATACCCCACTCCCTCTAGCATGTAAACTCACTGAGCAG